TTATATGTGTGGACTATATGGAAAATCATGACTTAGAAGCACCACCTGTTGGTATTCCAATGGTTAAGTATATCAGGGATGTACATCTAAATCGCTAGTGTGTTGCCATTTATTAGCCTGGAGGTAATGTCACTTAAATTTCGTAACTTAACTTCATATATAATTTCATAACATGCCAATATCGACCCTTGTCTGACCATCTTCGTTATTTTCAGGCAGGAAAGTCAGTCGACCACGTCTGTGTACAGAGCACAAACTCATTTCCTCAGATCCGGGCTAAAGTATTTTTCGTTTAAAATATCTAGGGTTGATATTTTGTGTCATACTGTTTCTGAGGAGCTGATGTGAGTGCCAATTATATTTCCGGAGAGATTCCGAGGCTACTCAAATGAAAGAATATATCAACAAATTAGTTGAAAAGTGTTATCAGCACATTGGTCATGCACCCTCCCCCTCCTCAGCCCGCATTGACCATCTAGAGTATTGGAAGCAACTGTTAATTTTTCATTTCAGTAGGCTTCTACATATGAAGACTCGTTTATTTCTGAGTGTCCAACGGCTAACATGATACTTCTGCAATGTACACGGGCAGACACTCGAAAGGCACCTAACAAGGCTTTAACTGTAGACGGGGGTTCAAAATTTAAGGCTGGTCCACCTGTTTGTCGTCGCAGGTCGGCAAATAATGCCCATGGCCATTGCTTTTGTGGATGTCCTGAGAAATACTATAGGAAATTGCTTGATAAATATGAAGGCACATATAGGAATCATGTGCTGGAAGGAAAAAATAATGGCAATCCAAAGGTTCAAATTTGTGATGCTTTGGTAACTGAAGAAAAATTTGTAAATTCATTAAAGGAAACAGGAGAAGTAATCGATGGATTTGTGAATTTTGTCCTTAAGACCATGATCTCTGACTAGAAATCACAGAAGAAGTTCGACAGCTTGATCATTGATCCGCCAACTATGGTATGCACTCTTCCCTTTACTAGTAATGCTGCACGTGCAATGCACGTGTTAGCAGTATCCTAAGATGAATATGTGTAGAAAAAATTAAATGAACATTCAAGAAACATGTACTCCCCATATCTTTACTAAGAATTACTTTTTCTCGAGCTTTGGATAATATCTCCAGCTCATTCATGCAACAACAGACCCATCATTCTTTATGAACTTGCTACCTTTCTCAGTTATAGCTAGACTTTTAGTAGTGGCCCTTTGTCCTCACTAAATTGTTGAAAGTTTTAGTAGTTTCATCTAGTACACCTTTCTCTTCCACTCTGTAGATGTCCAACGTTCCATCAAAAAACTTTCTCTGATTTAGCCACTATAGGAACCCATTCATTTTTTATTTCTATTTGTTGAACCCAGTCAAAACTTTTAATGGCCTTGGAATCTGCTTCCATTGGTGGCGATAGAGCACCGGACTTCCGTGAGGAAGGGACCGAGCGGCGACCAAGAAGCAGCGTTACCGTTTGGTGGGGGTGGGGGTGGTGTTGGGTAGCAGTTAGTTTTTGGTCAGATTACAATTATAATTAGAAAGAGGTAGTGACATGTGGGTAATTAGTGCGTAAACGCGTTTGATCAGTTGAAACGATTTGGAGCATTGGATCAATGTGATTGGATGGTTGAGATGTATTTGGTTCTCCACTTATCATGCTTTTATGGGGGTAGTAGATAACAATTTGCTGTGCTAATAAAGACTAGCTGATTTTTCATTTTGACACCAAAACAGGTGAAGATTCTTGATGGCAAATGTGCAGATGGGTTCATTGATGACTATCTTAGGAAAGAAGTAGCAAGAATAAAACTTCTCGAGAGGGTAAATGCTGTCTTAAGGAAATGATTCCATTTCGAGTGAAAATGATCCACTCATTTAACTGAAATATTGTTTTGCAGATTTATATTTTGCTGAATAATCATAGTCACTGGGTTTTATGCATCTTGTCTCTGCTTGATCTGAAACTATTTCTCTTTTGCCCAACATTGAGTCGCTTGCTACGGCGAGAGCGACATGGAAAAGTCATACAAAATGTGGTTGGTGCACTATCTAATTCTAAGTTATGCTTCATAAAAGATTCAATTAATTTCTGGCCAACTAATTTAGTTCATATGTATCTGAATTAACAGGTTGATAGGTTACAAAGTTCCCTAGTGAGGTTAAAGTAACTTTGTGTTCTGGTCATTGGCCAAAATAGGTTTATGCCCGTGCTTGATGATGTGTGGAATGAAGATGAAAGTAAGTGGGAGCATGTCCTGAAGCCACTTTTGTGTTCTTGTTGGTGGACCAGGAAGTGTAATACTAGTCACAACTCGAAGAAAGTGGCCTCTATAATGCAGACCCTTCGACCCCATAAGATAGCATGTTTGAATGAACAAGATTCATGGGAAGTGTTTGCACAGAAAGTGTATAGCAATGACAAACGTATTGTCAACAAATGTAGGGGGCTGCCTCTTGCTCTTAAGACAATGGGCGGATTGGTGGGTTCATACACTAGTAGAAAACGGGCCTTTAGTCCCGGTTCCATAGGACCTTTAGTCCCGGTTCTGGAACCGGGACTAAAGCCCAAAACCTTTAGTCCCGGTTCGCTTACGAATCAGGACTAAAGGGGCTCCATGTGGCCGTTGCCTGGAGCTCCACCTTTTTTAAAAAAAATTGATATTTTTTCACAATTTAATCTCTAATCTCTAATCACCCCTCATCATTCCGAATCGTCTAACTTCCCGTCCGGTCACCCATCCTCTCACTACTCCAGCCTGAGCACGCTTGACTTCCGAGTTCTATTCCCACTCGTTTCCAGGTCTGCACTTGTTGTTTTCCTGACAATAGTAAGCTGTCAATCCTATTAACCCTTGGATTTGAACTTGAGCATGAAGTCACACGTTTCACTGTTTGAGTTTGAAACTATTATTCTTAAAACCAATAATTATTTAGTAACACTAATATTTCTTGAATAAGTAGTTTGACCAGAGTTTGACCAAAAATTCAAAAAAAACATAAATTTGAGGATAACTTTTTTTCCTTTCACAATTTGAGGATTCTACAAATTTGCAAAACAGCCTATGGCCGTCGATATTAGAACAGGATTTTAGTGCTGAACATTTTGATATATTATACGTTTTTTCGACATCATATGCAAAAGTTATAGCCGTTTTACTTTTTCAAAACATTTTTTGCAAAACATGTCCAAATTTAAGTTTTTTAATTTTCCTAACTAGTAGACGTAGTAACATAACTACATCTCGAAGGATTTTAATTTTTGAAGTTTTTATCATTTTCTTTTGTTTTTTTCAAAACTGAAATGGCGATACATCGGGGGGGGGGGAGTTTGAACCCCTTTAGTCTTGGATGGTGTCCACCCAATCCTACCGTCGACTACATCTGCTAGCACCGTCCCAGCCAGAGTCACAACTAAGGTTAACCAAGCCAGAGTCACATTCTATTAAAGTGGCAAAAGAATAACTTTTTAACTAAAAATAATTGAAAACAACAATTAAAGGACTACATAAGTAAAGCATTACTGTTTTAATTAAAATCCTAATTTAATTTATTCTAAAAATAACCAAATAAATCTTACTGTGACAACAATCTGACATGTGACTAGGAGCAAAAAGAATTAAATTAAAAACTATTTTTAAACTCAAATTATTCACAATCTATGGTTTTAAGCAAATTTGAAAATTGGTATTTAAATCATTCAAATTTGAAAACTAATGGCACAAACAAAAACTAGAATTTTTTTTGAAGCTAATGCAAAAAAGAATCACTCAAAAACTTCAAATATCCTAAAAGATATAAGCAATTTAAAAAAGAAACTAAAAACATTAAAAAATGGAAAACCAAACAAAAAAATTCGAGAGACCCCTTTAGTCCCGGTTTGAGACACGAACCGGGACTAAAGGGCATCGCACCCTTTCGTCCCGGTGAACCTGGACTAAAGGTCCCATTTGAACCAGGACTAATGCCTTCCCAACGCCCTAGCCGCTCGAACCAGGACTAGTGCTCACATTAGTCCCGGTTGCATTGAGCTAGGACCAAAGCCCTATTTTGTACTAGTGATATCAACAAGTACAAGAATGGAAGGCCATCGAAGAAAGTAATATTAGTATAATGTCAGAGGGAAAGATGAAATCATGTACATCCTAAAGTTGAGCTACAAACACCTATCATATGAAATGAAGCAATGTTTTGCATTCTTAGCAGTTTTCCCCAAGGACTATGAGATGGATAAGGATGAGGCAAGTGGTTTTATTCAAGAGAAGGAAACAATGCATTTAACACGGAAAGGAGAATTTATTTTTTATGAGTTGGTTTAGAGGTCCTTCCTCAAAGATAAGCGGGAGTGCAAAGACAATTATGGTACAACAAGTTATGTGACTATTAACTGTAAGATGCATGATTTAATGCATGATCTAGCAAAAGATGTCACGAATGAATGTGGTAGTATGGAAGAACTTACTCAGCAGAAAGCATCGTTAAAAGATGTCTGTCACATGCAAGTGACAGAGGCTGAATTGGAAATATTCAGCGGGTTATGCAAAGGTAGAACATACCTCCGCACTTTGTTATCTCCTTCGGAATACTACAAGGATTATGAAGTGTTGCTATAGGTATCAACATCACTAAGAGCATTGCATTGTCCCCCTCCTAAAATTATCATTCGCAAGGCCATAAATGCAAAACATTTACGGTGCCTTGACCTCTCTAGGTCTTACTTTGTTACATTGCCAAATTCAATATGTGTCTTGTGTAACTTGCAAACACTTAGGCTCATAGGTTATAATCTGTGGCAGTTGCCAGAAGGCATGGCAAGACTGAGAAAGCTCATCTATTTTTATCTTTCTCATTGCCATAGTCTCAAAAGTATGCCTCCAAACTTTGGTCTACTGAACAACCTTTACATATTAACAACACTTGTTGTGGATACTGGAGATGGCCTTGGAGTTGAGCAACTCAAAAACTTGCAACACCTTAGTAATAGGTTGGAATTGTTGAATTTGAGCAAGATAAAGAGTGGGGAGAATGCAAAAGAAGCCAATCTCAGTTAGAAGCAAAGCCTAAGTGAGTTGTTGTTCTCTTGGGTCCAAGAAATAGATGATGGACATAAAGATATGGCTTGTAATAATGTAGAGGAAGTGCTTCAGGGTTTGGTACCTCACAGTAATATCCAAAAGTTGGAGATACCTGGATATTGTGGCATAGAAATATCACAGTGGATGAGAAAGCCTCAAATGTTTAACTTCTTGAGATAACTCGAAATGTCTGACTGCCTATGGATATTGTGGCATAGAAATATCACAGTGGATGAGAAAGCCTCAAATGTTTAACTTCTTGAGATAACTCAAAATGTCTGACTGCCTAGAATGCAAGAGTATACTTGTAGTATGGTTCTCGGCCTCTCTAGAGATATTGTCGTTATGGAGGATGGGTAACCTGACCACATTATGTAATAACCTTGATATGGATGCTGGAGGATGCATTACCCCTCTGCAAATTTTCCCAAGGCTAAAGAGGATGTACTTGAATGAGCTACGAAGCCTCGAGATATGTGCAGAAAACAGTGTGGGACAGCCTTGTGATAGCATGGTAACGTTCCCGATGGTTGAAGTGCTAACAGTCAGAGATTGCCCCAAGCTTGCGAGTATTCCAGTGACCCCCACAGTCAATGAGTTGAAAATAGTTGGAGTACACAGTACTGCATATAGTTTAATTTTTATGAGGATCTATTTGGGCTCTTGGCCATTTCTCGCTAGGTTAACTCCTGGGTCTCCGGAAAACATAGCCATGTTGCCTCTAGACGCCCAGCAACACCAAAGTGAAAGTCCTCTTGAAAAACTTACGTATTTTGATCTGGAAGACCTTAACAGCTTGGACACAAGCTCCCCATTGTCTAGACCGCACTTTATGCCTTGGAAATGCTTTTCGCTCGTGGAAGAGCTGGAAATTGGTGGATGGAAAAGTCTTGTCTGCTGGCCAACAGAGGAGCTCCGGTGCTTGGATCAACTCCGTGTTCTGCGTATCAGATTTTGTGAGAACCTGGATGGGTACACTTCATCGTCTAAGGAGACACTTCCGCTGTCCCTGGAGGAAATAGAGATCTTCTACAAAAGCATGGTGGCATTGCCTCCGAACCTTGGAAATCTGGCCAAGCTGAGGAGGCTCGATTTGATTCATTACACTGGCCTGAAAGCGCTGCCTAATGGGATGTGTGGCCTCACTTCTCTTAGGCAATTAGTGATTATTGACTGTCCAGCTCTGGAGGAATTCCCGCCCGGTCTTCTGCAACGGTTGCCAGCCCTCGAATTCTTAAAAATACATGAATGCCCTGAGTTGAAAGACGATGCAAAGAAGGTGGGGAGTATTTTCACTTGGTCTCCTCTATCCCATTTCCCACATGAAGACACTCATTAATGACGGCCGCATGGAAATCCAGAATAGATGCAAAGTAATCGGTATACGCATGAGTGCCCTGGTAAATAATCAATCTTCCTTCTGTCTAAATAATTTTTCTATCATTAAATTCGGTGAAAACATGTGAGGCAGCTGCAGGTGGGAATCTCTGAAAGCCTCCACGGCATGAAGGAGGCAGCCGCGATCTGGAGGGTGCAGAGGGGAAGGGAGGAAGCAATGGTCAAACTTTAAGAGGAAAGTTCCGCTGCGCGGGTCGCGGCCTGAAGTAGCAGCCGTCCTTTTTGCCAGAGCACATGCCGACGGTAGGGGACGTGGAGGTGAGGGAACGAGATTTTCCTATGCCGACGGAGATGGAGTGAGAGCTAGATGGATGGACGCCATGGGCAGAGACCCAATAGACCAACCGGCAGCAAGAGGGTGGGTTTGAAGCTTCTATTGTTAAGCCATAACCTTAACAAACATCTTTTATTGTTATTCCTGGCAGTAGCTTCTGCCATTTTGTACCACATACCAATGTGTTTGCAAGCCATAACCTATTATTAAGCATCTTGCAAACATCTCGAAACATTTCAGTTCTTCGTTCCCATTTTTCTTCTTCTTGGCCACAGACGATTGAGTTACGAACATGAGGCTTCCCCCTTTTTGACGAGAAAGCATGGGGCTGCATTGCAAAGAATTAATTTTTGCGTTTCTCCACCGAGCTTCTGGTGAGCTGGTTCCGATTCCAACAGAACATTGTAGCTTTGTGTGTACATGCATAACCAGTCTCTATTGTAAGAACAAGTCTTCTTTTGTCTGGTAGATAAGCTTAACACTTAATAGAGCGAATAATTTTTCTTCCGCATATAGCAATATGGTATCGTCCTGCTGTTGTGATGAGATTGTTCCAATTCATACAATGCCCATAACACTTAATAGGCCGGGACTTGCTCCCCTTTCCAAAAAAATCACCAAACTCTTTCGTGTGGAATCAATGATAGTGTAGACTAGTAGTACTAATCAGGTAGGCGCACACACTGATAACTGGTTACTGGATTGCGATTATCATCAGAGCATGGCGATGTCCGCGTCGGGTAGCATCTTGCCGAGCCGGACCTTCGCCCTGGGTGGTGAGATGCATGATGTCGTTGGCGATGGGTAGCACCATGGCGTCCACATACTTGAGGTTTGGCAGCCGCACCACCCTCTGCTCCTTCCTCACCACATCCACCAACTTTCCCTGCCTTTGCCCCTGCCAAAATTCTTTTGCATTGGTAGGATCCACTGATAATATCGCGGAAGTAAATATTGTTGCTTCATCTCTACTACTTCCCTGTAACTGCATGCAAAATTGCCAATGACTTCAGGTTTGCAGAAGTTGGAATTCAGAAGGGAAACACGCATATATGCCTGAATTCTGACTCGACATGCTCTGTTTTCCTGCATGAATAAAAATAAATACTGAAATCGCTTAAACGACGCTGGTGTTTACTCTGAAGCAAGCCATGAAAGAAATGGTTGGGCACATCAGATCCTGTGGATGATAACATGGATTGCTCAACGATGGCTCCATGTACCTGTGGCCTGGGATTTCTGAAAGCCTCCATGGACGGTATTATGGGAGGAAGCAGCTGTAGTGGACGAGCTGTAAGAGGAAGCTTCACGACTCTTGCTGCTGCAGTGGCTGGGTGATCACTGCTAAGAAAAGTTTGGAGATAAATACACCCACGCTCACTGTAATTGCATCGAAAGCACGATACGGTCACCCAACTTTGAAATACGCTCGTTACAGTCATTGTATACGATGGGACGTGAAAATACGGTCACTGTAGCGCGTATGCGATGCGTACACGCAGTTTGACCACGTGTTGACCGCTCGTTGGAGACACGTGGCGAACAGCGGAGGCGCGGCTGTGGAAATATGCAAAAAAAACCTCAGGCATCACCACATCCCCCATTCATCCCTCCTCCACTCACATCGCCTGTTCGTCTTCGTCGTTGGAGAAAGGGGGGCGCTGCATAGGCGACGCCGCCCCGGCGATCATCGGTGGTAGAGCGGAGGCGATGGCCTGATTTCGTGCGTGGTTGAGGAGGCGCCACCACCGCGCGTGTTCTTCCCATGGGAGGCGGCGGCGATGTCCCCTATTCATCGTGCAGAAGGGTTGGCGGCCCCCGTGTACAGTAAGTCCCCTAAACTGAAGAATCCATCTTTTTTGGCACTTTGATGTTGAAAAACCCTCCTTTTCGGGGCGCATTGCTTTACTGGATGTGTTGTAGTTGGTAGATGGGCCGGATTCTGCTAGAGTTTTGGCATGGGATTTGGGGGTACGAGAATTGGGGCTGAGTGTTTTAGATGTCTATATAAATTGATGCTCATGTGGAGATGTCATGTCGATTCTGATGTATGTTGTATATGTGTTGGTGTGACAGGCCGCCAAAGCAGCAATTTCTCTGTGGAAATCAATCATGGTGGTTTTTTTGTTGGGCATGGAAGGATCCGTGCTTATGTTAATGGCCATTCCATTTGGTATGATCATGTGGAGAAGGTTACTTGGTCACCAATTTTCATTGAAAGCCTAGTTGAGGAAATTGGCTATGAGATGGCAGGCAGGCTCAAGGTTTTCTACTGTGTCCCCATCCTTACACCCAGTACTAATGGTCTGAGGGAACTGAGTGATGATGAGCAGACAGATAGAATAATGGTGTTTGTTGATATTGGGCACCACTTTCTTTAGCATCTACCTGGATCATGATGAAAGCTTTCAGGCTAATCTAGATGAAGATGATGTTGTCCATAATCAAAGAGCAGAATTGCCTCCAGTCTTGAGCCATGCAAAGAGAGTTCCCAGCAGTAGTGTACACACTGGAGAGGTCGAGGCAAAAACAGAGCATACAGAGGCAGGGCAGATGCAGAGCTAGAGACAGGGGCACCCATTCCTCTCCAGGTTATATTCCCTGATGTTGATGCAGCAGATGAGAATGTGAATCAGTTTGAGTTTGTGAGGAGGCCATCAACACAACAAGGTGTGGGTAATCAGATGGAGAAAGCAGAGCCAGTTGTAGTGCAACAACCCAGTCATCACAATGATAATGAAATGCAAGCAGAGGATGGTGTTGGAAGCACATCAATGAGGAGTGCTAGGCAGACCAAAATCAATTATGCAATGGACGAAGATGATGCAGCTAGTGACACAGATGATGAGGATTATGACCCTGGTCTAATTGTGGATAGTGACAATGAGATTGACAATGATGATGATGACTTGTATGCAGATAATGTAGATGAGGATGAACCAGAACAGAAACAGGAGAACAAATCAAATGAGAGAGGAAAGCAAAAAGGAAATCAATTCCAAACTAAAGCTCAAGACAGAGGCAAACAGAAGTATAATAAAGATGAAGACTTGTCTGAAGTTGAAGATTTGTGGGCACCTGATTCAGATGATGAAGAGATGCACTTGAAGTTCAAAACTTTCAGACCAGAGGATCTACACAGGCCAAAATTCCATGTAGGTCAAGTCTTTGAGAGTGTAGAACTACTGAGGACATCAATTAAAGAGTACTCCTGCCAAAACAAAGTTGATATCAAGCTGCCTGTCAATGATAGGAAAAGAGTTAAAGCCAAGTGTGATGATGAATGCACATGGTATTTATGGGCATCATTTGACAACAGGA